ACTTCTCCAGGCCATTCCAAGCCATAACTCAAAGGCTGAAACCAGTTGGCCTACAGGTTACCCAGTTCAAACTTGACAACTTGACTAAATTTACTCAAACTTTCTGGGGACCTTTAAGAGCAGTAAAAACAACTTAATTTACTTAGTTTGGCAAGGAAAAAGCGACACAAAAGATTTTAAGAGCACTTGACTAGGTAACTCAAATAGAGAATTTTTACAAGACAAAAAAACACTAAATTTTAACAGGACACAAAAGAAAAGGCTACCAAATGTAGTAGCCATTAGCAGCACAAAACGCATCATATCTAAGTAAAACAAATAAATAAAACATACTAATCAAATTGCAAATTTTTTTTTTTACTTTAATTTATTAAAATATTGACAAATTGCAACTTAATTGTGATAAAAATTGCCATTTTAAAAAATTTTTAAGCATTCATGAATTTAAATAATGACATGAAAAGTTCTTAATAAAAGATATCATTAACATGTGCAGCTAATTTTCTCGAATGCATCAGTTCTTTTTGCCTTAGGGAAACAAAGAACAACTTTAGTTCTGCAATACATGTGTAAGCTAGCCATGTTTGCTCCAATGTGACAAAAAAAAACATATTTTTCTATGACAATAATAAAAATACATATTGATCTACGTAGGCCTGCAATGTTTTTCTGTGTTATTGCGAAACATTTTCATCATTCTATGACTCAGGTAATAGAGAATGTTTTTATGTAAACATTTTATAAATCTGTTGTTTCAATATTTATCACTCTGTTGTTTTGCGTCCACTTTGATAATCAAACAAAAAGTTTGGTTTTAATCATGTTCTTTGTTTACTTAATCCTACGAAGTTCATAATGGTTAAGTTGAGTTCCTGTTGAAACCTGTTTTGTTTAGTTTGGTTTTGAAATGTTAAATCCCATCACCTTAGCAAACACTTTATTATTTTAAATAGTACAATGTAATATACATGATAGTCCCCTGTCAAATGTACATATACAGGCTCCCGTGTGCTCCTTAATGAGGCAGGTGTGGGAGTAGTTTTAATCTCTTCGTTTGACCTTGGAGAAATACAATTTCGATGGTGGCACTCTTGAAAATGGTGCGTTCGAACGCTGTGAGTAAAAAACAAAATGGCCGCCATCGCAAACTTGCTGCCTTACTTATATCAGTAACCGTTAGAGTTATGAAAAAGTTGTTAATACCAAAATGTAGCTATTTTAAATCTGCACAAAAAAGATTATAACAGTTTTTATGTAGAATCAACCATTCTTTCATAAAACATAATGTAATGTGTTTTATATTTTTCATAAATAAAATTAATTAGGGTGGATGTAATGTCCCAGGACAGTTAAATATCTCAAAAAGTATTAAAGGGTGTTTCAGTAAAGCGTGATGGGCTATGCAGATTCAGATTCTATGTGCAAAAATAAGTCGAAAATGTAGAATAACATTGTTTCAATTTCGGCTTAGTTAAGCCGAATTCCGCCATTTTGTATTTTTTGAAAATAATTTATAACTCAAAAGCCCTTAGAGATATTTTTATGAAACTTGGTATAAACTTTAAGTCTACAAGTATAAGCATTCCCCGAAAAAATCTTTGAGCCTGATCATCGAATTTCAAAATGGCGGCCATTAAAATTCTTTATAGTCAAATTCCATGAAAACCAGCAATTAAAACAAAACTTCGAAACAAAATATGTAAAGTCCTTTTTATTACAAATCGAACGACACTTTATTTGCGAAAATCGGATAATAAATAAAAAAGTTATGTAACTTTTAGTATGTTTTTGTCACTAGTTTCTATGAAATTTAACTTTGTGATTTCAAAATGACTGCCATTTTGATAATATCTATTAACTAGCAGAGTACCCGTCCTTCGTACGGGGTTGGAATATAAGTATAAAATGCGTATTGCAGTTATACTCAAGCTTTGCGTTTGCAATAAGGGAGGACACAGTTTGATAAAATTTGCTTTTTTAAATTTACAGTATTCTATAGTATTACACATCTACCATAGCCATAACGTTCTACCACTTCACCTAAACAATAGAGAAAAATAAATTATCAACAATTCGCAAAATATCACAAATTATTCATGAAATGAAAAACATAAACATAACTGTAAACAATCCTACTTTGACACGTTCTCATTGCGAATCACAGTTTTTTGTTGCTGCTTAGTTCAAATTAGCTGTTATCATAAATGCAAAAAAATATAGTGCTGCACCCTGTTGGTAAATCTTATAACTTTTTAATGCTTTTCCATATCATAGAACCAACTTTTTTAGTTGAAACAGCTGACTAAATTCTTTAATTCTCTTTGAATATGAATACTCATAAGGTTAACATGGGGAATTACAGAGCCACTGGGGCGGAGCCCGAAAGGATTTTTGAGATAAGAATATGCCTATATGTTAATCGGGAATATAAGCTATCATCATGCCAAATTTCAGCCCAATCCGTCCAGTGTTTAATGCGTGATTGAACTTCAAACAAACAAACAAACAAACAAACACACAAACTTTCACATTTATAATATTAGTAAGATAATAAAAGTTACATAACTTTTTTATTTATTATCCGATTTTAGCAAATAAAGTGTCATTCGATTTGTAATAAAAAGAACTTTAAAAAATGTGTTGCAAAATGTTGTTTTAATAGCCAGTTTTCATGGAATTTGACTTAAAACATTTTAAATGGCGGCCATTTTTTTTTTATCCACAGGGTTCAAACGCACCATTTTCAAGGGTGCCACCATCGAAATTGTATTTCTCAAAGGTCAAACGAGGAGATTAAGACTACTCCCACACCTGCCTCATAAAGGAGCACACGGGTGTACATTTGACAGTGGACTATGATCTTTCTCTTTAAAGTGTTTGATTATTTTTCATAAAGAATCAAGAAAAATAAAGCCAAATGATTTCATTTTAAACATAATCATTTTTTGGATGGAAGAAATTAATTAATTATTTTTTCACCACACTATGATGTTCTTGGCTGTATTACATACGTTAATTGGTGGCTGAAAGTTACGTTTTGCTGGCCATGCCAGCTGTCATCGTAATTTGGGGACCGAGCAGGTTTTTACAGGCCGGGGCCGCAAAATCAGCTGTCCGCTACTTACTTAAAACATTAATGCATTTTAAATACACAATCAAAATCCATAGCACTGCAATAGAATTGTGTTATTGTCACTGTTGCCTAGCAACTATTTATTTTTTATTTTTGCTGATTCCTCAAATTATTTCTTCACATAACCTTAAAGTTGTAGTTGTGTTGACTATCAGTGTGCATTATTATAGTGGTGAATAGTGGTAATAGGAAATAGTGTGGCGAAAAATAGCGTTCGAACCACGGACCGAAATGGTTTTGCAGCTCTCGATCGATTTAAGTTCTCGACTTCGTCTCGAACTTAAAAACTATCTCGAGCCGGCAAAACCTCATTTTCGGCCCTAGGTACGAAATATACTATTCTGCTAGTAGAAAAATTACATAGTCGACTGTTTCTAACGTGAAATACTTATTACAGGCCGAAAAGGAAAAGATATTTGATTTAGGGAACACGTCTTCTAACAGTTTGAGACAAATGGTGCGTGTTCCATAAACAGCCTTAACACCATAATTATATTTCACAAGGATTAATTTAATAATTGATTCTTTGATCAGTAATATTTAATTTAACAACAAACAAGCTCTTTAGGAGCCTCACATCTTGGTGTTTATGTATTTTGACCTGATGTGTTAGTTTTGAAACGTTGTCACGCACGGAATTCTGGATTCGGTGATTCAGCTACAGATACCAATACATTATTGATGAGATATACGCACGTGGACAAAACTTGAGTTGAATTATAGGTCCAAGTCGTTGGCCATTGACTTGAGATAATCCAGGTTTAGAAATTCTCTTCGGTGGTTAAGTAGTAAAGAAAACCTTAATTTTAAAATTGTAGTTAAATGAAACAGCAAATTAAATAGCAGAGATGGTTCCTAAATCTGTAATCCTTTCATTATTTAGTCAATTCCCTCATAGCTTTTCACACTATTATAAACTGACGGAAACAAAACAGATTATACAGTTTACAATTGGTTAATCGGTTTTGGTGTTAGAAAGGAAGTCGTTAATAAGAGTTTTTACTTGCATACTCAAAGGTATGAGGCTTGATTGAACTAAAATAATTAAACATTCATGTTTCTGGCCCCTGGACTACATTGTTAAGACAATAATAGGTTTTACATATCTCCGTCAAATAGTCCAACGGTATTGCTCATCAGCTTACATGTTTCGTTGCGAAGACAACATTTTCAAAGCTTGCAACTCGTCAAAAACGGAATAAAAACACGGACGACACGAACAAAAAAAACATCAAAATAGTATCAATACACAAAAAACATTTAGATAGTGATTAGTCCATATTTTTGACAAGATGCAAGCTTTGAAAATGTCTTGGCAACGAAACATGTAAGCTAATGAGCAATATCAATGTATGTAAATAAACCTATTGTTGTCTAAAATATTGTCTAAAAATATCAAACCATTCAATGGTAATGTGAAATGTATTAATCATTGATGAAAAAGAATTTGTAGTGACAAAATCACTTTAGAATACTAGTAGGGACTGGTGTAGTGGTTAATGGGTTGGTCTGAGTAACACCAATTGCCAAAGGTTTACTTTACAAATTGATTCTTTAAACTAACATAAAGCTACAGGTTGACACTGGAAACAAAAAATGTTATTTAGGCGATGAAAAAAACTGTTCAATCTGAGAACTTTAAGAAAACTAATACGATAATAGTGCTATAAAACCTCAAAGTATTTAAGTGTGTGATACTTGTAAATACAATTGTTTACAATCTAAGGACATACAGTAAACAAACATGTTTATAATAATCTTTACTTGTATATTTTTAGCCGTGTATTTGTATTCTGGAAACATCTTTAACATATATATAACATGTTGAATTAAGCGTTTACTAAAATGTACTTAATCTTTTTTTCAGATCTTTTCGAGCGTCATCGCTAGAAGGGTAGGTAGAATTTATAGTCAAATTATTTTCTGAATATTCATTCAGTGGTTCTATTCATCAATCTTTTATCTATTGAAATATATGTGAGTAATAATTTCTCATTGACAGCGAATGTGTCTTCCCTACGAAAAGATAAACTGGGCTGAAGGTGACAATGTTTTTATAGGAAGTTCGATTAAATAGTACACATTTATTTAAAATGTATTCATCATTGCCAATAATCTGTATTAGATACTGTAATCGTACACTTAGAAAATATGATAAGCTCTAATAATTTTAGTTTTATTTATAAAAAATTCTTAAATATACGTGTCTACATTCCGCTTTGTGAAGAATTTAAATTGAATAGAAAAATTTTACCTTAAGACTTGCAGTACATCCTTAAATTATTTTTGTATATAACCTTTATTTTTTTTTAATTTTCATATTATTATTCTGCACCATTATTTTTTTTAAACCATAAATAAATTATTAGGGTTGCCTAACACAGTTTTCATGTAATTTTTCACACTTCTTTTACTTACTTAATCATTTTAAGAGCTTTTTTCTTTTTGTGTGTAGTTTTTATTTTACTATTCAAGTGAAAAGGGGGTGACAAATTTTCATGGGGAATTCATAAACAAGATTTAAAAGGAATCAATGAAAAATCAACAAACGATTTCCATTTAATGATTACGCAAGAGGCATTTTGTATGAACACTCTTTTAAGATAACTACTCAAATATTTTTGGATATACCGGAGTCGAACCCGTGCCCTTCGAACTGGACTGAGAGACGTTAGACACTTGGGTAGAAACACACAAATTTCGCCCAAATGCTAAAATTTTCTTCTCCAACCTTTTTATATTATTCGTGAAAAGCAAAACATTTTAAAGTTACGCGTACTTCAGTTTCTATTAAACACTGAGTGAAATACAAGGATCGCTTCTGCTTTCTCGCCATTCAAACATCTGTTTTTTGGGATGTAAACGCTTTTAAACACTAGCGGAAGTCTTTATCAAGCTCTCCAAGTTTGAGTGATTCACTCTCGTACATCACATACAGTTTGGTTTTATTCGTGGAGTTGTTTCAACGGAATAAAGTTTAGTTTTCTGAGCAGTATATGTGTGTACTGTAATCCTTTTATGGATAAATAAGGGTAAAATCATTGGTTACCCTAAAGGGTTAACTTGTTATGTGATTTTCTGCGATGGGTTTGTAATATACAGGGTGTCCCTAGATGAGAATTGTTTTTTGAATTAATATGTTAAACGTATTGAACAAGCTGCAAACTTGAAACCCTACTGATGTAATAATTACATAAAGTCTGTAACCATGAGTCCCATTAGAATCTGATTAACCACAAAAAAAAACCAAAAAAACAACAAATTAACAATAAAATTATAAAAAAACGTTGATAGCGTGATTCAAAAGATTGCATAGTGGATTTTGGACATAAAGTTTAGAACGAAGGATTATGAATCAAATTAATTTCCTTACATAATTTATCACTATGTTAACTTTTAGTAACTTCAAAAAGGTTATAAATTATGGCTAACAGACGCTCAGAAATAGAGAATTTTTTGGAATTTGTTGTGGATACACCCAGTGTAATATTATATTAAGAGAAAGAAAAATTGTTCAATTTATCACCAAACATCCCATTTATTTGGAAACGGTATTAAGAATTGTCTTTAAATCATACTTGGATATTAGTGCAAGTGGGCATATTATAGGCCTTAAAATATTCATTATTTGCTTGGTCAAATATACATTATTGAAACTAATTATATGTCAGATAGTTAAGATGTTTTGATTTGAACTTGTATAGAGGTGATCATTTAAATAGGTTATACATAATCAGTCATATACATTTTGGATTTAATTGTGTCATATTATTAATTACATGAGAATATTATATTAACTAAGAAAGCTAATTTACAAGGTTAATTTTTACTGCAGTTTTAGGAAATAAATGAGAGATATGTAAGTTCTTAAATATCAATCATATGGTTTTAAAACAAAATGGTGATTTATTTTGGTCATGTGTGTCTAAACACGTGCGAAAGTTATGTCAGGAAATGTCAATACACTTGACTGGAGAATCTCTTGTAGTGGTATTGTTCATCTAATGCAGCTTCAGACTTAACAAATATCTGACATTTCTTTAAAGTAAAGAAAATTACAGGTTAGTATTTGACCTTTGTTTAAAAGGATTACATTGACAACTAAAGCAGTTACATACCAATTACATTCATACTACTAATTACATATTACAGGATTGCTAAAAGTATTACATTCAAAACATGAACATTGAATGGAAATAGATAGTTTAATTACATCAAATTTTAAAATTATTTATCGTGAAACCAAGTGAAATTCAAAAGTGAATAAAAAAGCATAGAATTTCTACTATCTGAAACATAGAATATTATTACAACTCTGAGGTTCCTTTGTTTCTTTTAGGGGCAATGCTAATTTAGAACATTTTCTTCTTTCACAACCATAATGTTGTTGTCTTAATAAAATGCAATTATGTAAGCGAATCTGTTTTGAAAAATTCTAAAATATAGCTATGTAGCTACGTTATGACAAGGTGTTTTCTAGAGTAAATGCGCCAAGTATGATTTAAAGACAATTCTTAATACCGTTTCCAAATAAATGGGATGTTTGGTGATAAATTGAACAATTTTTCTTTCTCTTAAATTTGTTATAGTTATTCCTGTCACAATATTAATACACAGAATTTAATGTTGGTTTGTGTTAAACACTTTTTTTAATCTTTAAACAACTGTCATTTTTTAACGGATGGGCTTTTTGAAGTACGGTTTGCGGCATTGTATTCTACTAATAAATACCTTTAATTTGATGTGCTATGCTTCCATTCAAGATTTACTTCCCACTCCTTGTGGGCCGTCGCCCTGAAGAGTTATTTGGATCACTGAATGTGAAGTTATGGGGATCATTTTAAAGGGAATTTTAAGCAAAGAAGAATGCCGCAAACCGTACTTTAAAAGGACCATCCGTTAAAAAATGACAGTTGTTTAAAGATTTAAAAAAGTGTTTTAATTTAAAGAAATTGGCTAATTTTGAAAATCTTTGAACATCTGCCATTTTGCGCAGGATCAACCTTTTGAAGTGCGGTTTGTGGCATTGTTTTCAGTTGAAGTAGACCTTTGAAATGATGTACAACTCAACATAGGCTGTCATTAAAGATTTTCTTCTGACCCCCGACGGGCCGTCCCCCAAAGGTGATATCCGACCACCATGTACACAGAAAAGTAGCTTACAATTTCCAGTTACGGTATACCAAATGTGGTTGTGATATCGTTTGTCGTTTAAAAGTTATAAAGTCGTCCTAAGACTTAACGGTCACCCTTACTATGATAAATATATGAATTACTACTTTTAAAATTAGAAAGCTTTAACATGCAACTTTAAACAGCTCAGTAGGAAATCGTTGTACAATTATGCTAATGTATATGGTTTCTAGAGAAGTAATATACAATTAAATTTCCATAAGTATTTTTTTGCTTCATACAAAAAAGCGTATGCTGGATACCACGTAAGTTGATACTCGTACGAATCACTGTTACAATATGAATAGACATTGACAGCAGACGGACTGACAGAATGTCACTAGGCAAATAATATACTGGGGTTGCAGGTTTATATGTGAGAGCGTATACATGGACATCGTGTTGACAATGTTTCAGGTTTTTCGGTGCAAATCACTTTTATATGTCCAAAAAACATAAAACATATCTCATAAAACTATGTTTGAAGATTCTAAACACATGCTAGTGAAATACAATTTTTCGCTTACGGTCCTACACAAGGTTGTTTAAATTCACATTAATTGGATTATATTAAGTGTTAAGGTGCTAAAATCCCAGACAAATAAATTGTCAAATTTAAATTTTAAAAATGGTAAACATACATTGCCTCGTTGAAATAACACAAAACATAAACACATATTATCAGTGTATGTGGTAGGAGCGTTAAGGCGGCAAAACACTTTCATCTTACCTCTGATACATATTTTCTTCGCAAATAAATTAAGCAGAGTTGAGCTTGGAAGATCTCTGCGAAGCTATTTCAAGACATTAGTCACTTTCCGGTGCTGTTGACTTATTCAAGGTATATTGAGGTTAGAGTATCACTAAAACATTAACTAGCTAAAATCTACATCATAACTTTCTTGAGTTTATAACACGTCTACATTTAACCTTCTAGAACAAAAGTGTAAATAAATGTTTCCAGATTAGTTTAAACATATTATCCGTAAAGTAAATAATATTGCAATATATTTTAACAGCATTGTACTTACAATGAATTTAGAAAACATGCATACGTATAACTAAGAAAGCTGTTATATTCACTACGTCTTTGTTTCCAATTACATCTACAACCTACGGAAAGGAACTTGTACAGAATCAAATTGATTGAAACTAGAACATATGTTTTGGATTCAATATAACTTTTCACATTGTCTTCGTAAATTATGAAACGGTTCTAAAGTTGTTTAAACTATCTAGCTTTGATATAGATCCTTTTTGAATTATAAATTATTCTCAATTTTACCCTTTGTCAATATTCAATTCTTGAATCGGTGTCCATATAATGTTTGTACAATTCATATAATTTTGAACAATAAATCATATTAATATTTAAAAGTTTATATATACTTAAAGACATCTAAATGTTTAGACTAAAACTAAATAACTTATTTTAATTACATCTTCACATCGAGTGCAGCTGTTTTTGTTCGTACATCCCTAGTTATGATTAAGAAATTATAAAAACCCTAAAATGGGAACCTAATTATAACTATAGCAAGTCTTTGTCCCTACACACCACTCTGCTGTATTATAAACAATCAAATTGGAAAATAGTGTATCTTAAGTTTACTAAATTAGAGGTTTCTCCAAATACCCTTTTCCTTTCAGTAACAAATACTGGTCCAGCATCCTCCTTACATGTATGTTGTCTACTTTAGGAACCAAAAATACCTGTTAAAC